AAATGAATAAGCCGCCATCTTCTGGTGGAACCGACCTTCGAATCTCTTCACGCAACACTTTCACTCGAAAAGAAAGTGAGCTCAACATTCGAGACAAGCCAAGCCTTTCCTGACTCAAAATCCATTATGGGATTGTCGAAGACATTACTTATTTTTTTCGAGACTGCCTTAGTCTTTCTGGATCGCTTAGTCTGATTGCCGTTGTGCAGTGGAAAAGTAGAGTTGCCAAGATGCTCACGACCCTGAATGGAATTTTGTTGGGAGTACTGTTGTTGGTGTTTGTGTTGCTGCTGCTGCTGATGATGAAAACTGCTATATGAAGCAAATTTCAACTAAAACATGCAGTAGCCAATGTTATTAGTTTAATCAAAACAAAGAGTAGCCCGTTTCTGTGTGATTTATGCGATAGGAAAACCCCCAAGGACAGATGTATGCAAGTATGCCAAGCTTCGTTTGTCACTTGAGATGAACTGAAACTCTAGACTGCATGCTGATGGTGTCGACTCAGAATCAGCTTCGACCCACGGGGTGTGTGCGGAGGGTTTGCTTAGATAACAGTTTTGGGGTAGGAGAAAATGGTAGACGTGGAACTGTGAGTATGCTGCCTCATTTCATCCTGGTTCTGTGTCACGGAATAGCTCATGCGGAACGCCCAGAAATGCCCATTAAGCTCACTTCAGATGAGTTCAATGCATCTCAGGATCTCAGCTCCACATCATTTAGCGATGCCTTCAAAAGCGCCTCTCTTCGACCAGTTCGACATTGTGAAAAGAATCCCACAATACCGTCCCATCTTCAGTTATTTCCTGGCTCGGCTGGTCACAAGTAAGGTTAAACTGCCAAAATCGCAAACCAATGTGCAACCCATCATGAGGCAAACTTAGCATAATTGTAATATGATACAAATGTATCGGACATTATCTGCTTCGTCTAGATGCTGATCAAAAACAGTGTAACAAAATCTTAAGAGTCTAGGGCTAGAAGCGATTGTATCAACTGGCTTTTCAGTAATTTCCTGTAGCATTTTATCCGAACCATATTTTTTATGCAACTCTATACTGTGCTATATCATATTACGGCATCCAACGCTGAATTGCGCCTTGCCAAACGATGCCTCCATATACTACTGACTTGGCAATCTATGCTATGCTAGAATGTATTATGATAGACTGCCAAAGCAGAATATACTATACCATATTATATTATACCCCACTATACATACTACGCTATACTATACTATCCTATAATAGACAACTTTATCCTATGCTATATTATAATATACTATACTGTACTTTACTATATATATCTCACTATACTATACTAACATACAATATGATGTTATACTGTACTATACTTTAATATAATATGCTATATATTGTGTAACTATGCTGCACTATTCTATAATATGCTATGCTCTACCTCATCACTCGATTCTGTAAAATACTATATCTTTCTATACGTTACAATGCGTTAACATCACATTGCCTTGATGTTGGGTAACTTTTGCTGCGATCGCCCAACGCTCAGGCATTCTTGGTGAGATTGACGAGCAAACGAAGATAGTAACATATGCAGGTGAGGGGTAATGATTGGATACATCACGAATTGGCGGTTAAGTCAGTCTGACGGACTGAGATGGAAGCTGGCATCAAAAAACAGGATACATTTCCAAGAAGTGAGTCTCATAGTTTGGGGCTAGGAGTTTGTAGCATGAACGACAAGTTCGTGCCGTCCGGGATGATTAGAGTAGAAGTGGCACTCGGTACAGTTGATTTTCGATCAAATCGACAGTAGCAACAAGAAGAAAAGGCATTCAGCAGTGATTTGTTAAACTAGAGGATGTGGGCATTAAGGCTCGCCCGCATGAAAATTAATCGGACTTGGCTGGGCAGATGGTATCTACTGCCAAAAGCATTAGCAATCACAGCAGCAATCTGCAGTTTTCTTGATGCTTCCGCAGAAAAGATGTGCTATGGGATTCCGGAACTTGCGTTCTTCTTAAAGCTGGATTGTAGCTCGAACTCAATTTGGCGATCCGTCAACAGTCGGCGGGATTCGAGCCTTGCAGTTACAGGCTCACATGCGTACACTAGGCCTTTTGGGTAGAAAATTCATGTGAACTTCAATAGAAAATTCATCGCTCAGCTCATATATCTTAGCTACTGATAGGCTCGAAGGCCTACTTTCAAGTCAAAAATAAGCATAA